ACTTAACCACCAAGCCACAGGGCCGGCCCCAAATCTGGGTTTCTAACTACCACCAAATGTAAAGGTGAATTCTAGATGGAATAAAGACAAAAATGTTAAAGTAAACCTATGAAATTAAGGAAAAAATATGGGCGAATACCTTTGTGATCAATGGCATGGAAAAAAACCTTCAAATGCACAAACCATAAGGCAAAATAATTGGTAAATTTGATTACAACAAAATTAAGAACATCTCTTAAAAAGACAGACGTAAAAGATAAGGTTAATAGACAGATAGAAGGAGAGATGATATTTATAAATGTTTGAATTTCTGCAAATCTACATTAACAATAAATAAGTGCCAATAGAAAAATAGTTAAAAAATAATGCAGAAAATTTTCAGAGGAAGAACCTCCCCCGGGTTTTTAAATGACATGAAGATATGCTCCATCTCACTGGAAATCAGAAAAACAATATGAGATATCACTTCATTACCTATTCTGACAACAATTAGGAAGCCAAGGTATAGAAATTCTTATGCTCTGCTGGTGGAAATGCACATCTGGAGAGCCACTAAGTACGTGCCTATCTAATGATCCTACCATTCCGAAAACCCCTGGATACCTATTCCAAATAAACTCTTATGCATGTACTAATGAGATGTGCATGAAGACATCCATTACAATGCCGCTGGTAGAAGTGGGACATTGGAGGCAATCTCAGTATCTGTCATGGGTAGAGAGGATTATAAAAATGGTAGTTGCATGCCATGGAGTAATGTTTAGCAGTTAGAAGCAATAAATTACATGTAGCAGCATGGATGGATCATAAAAATATGGTACTGAATAAAAAATGTCAGAGAATGTGATACATAAACTCAGCCATTTACAGAAATGAAAATTCATGCACACAAAATTATAAATATATATTTTAGAAGAACATATACAAATGAAATAAATATACATTAACCCATTAGAATGGTTGCCTAAGGGGTGAATGGGAGTGGAAATGGAGATAAAAAGGAGTGTATATATTTATTTTTAAAGCAGCAAGCAATGGGCTTTTCAAAGACCAATAACAATAACGTACCATCAAAGGGAGAGTATGACTAACTCAGCTTTCCACTCCTGAAGTCAGAACAAGCAAACATTCAGACTTTTCTGTGATGGCCTCTTCTGTGATTTAAAGACAAGGGGTGTAAAATAATTTCTTGAAGAAAAGAAAAACTTACAGGACTCTGGCTCAGGGGGTATAATCCCAATACAACCTTTGTTTAGGTGGCAATGGCTGTTTGAACAACTTTTTAAAATTGACATATCAAGATAGCTAGGACAGTCTTGGTGGTAAAAGAGAGTCCAATAATTTGGTCCCTAAGAGGATCAATGAGGAAAAAATGTGAATAGAAGGTGTGTGTAGGAACTGTCATAGTGTAGAATCAAGATTTCTTTCTAGGATGTTCTGTCCTGACCCCTGGAACCTCTCCTGAAAGTGCCTTTTTCTTAGGCTTTCCTCCCTGATGGCCCTAATTTCTGTTTCTAATCCCATTTCTTCTGCTTCAGGCTACAGAAGCTGGGACAATCTTGCTCCAACTCTCTTTCCTATCCACTCTCTCCAACTTCCCCCATTCCTGTTGTGCAGTAAGAAGGAGAAGTGGGAAGGTGAGGGCTCTGTATTGTACGACTTTGGGGTAGCCATACAACTGGCTCTCTATACCTTAATCCTAAATGCAGGTTTACATAAAAACATTATCACATATATTCGTATAGACTTCTATGTAAGTTGCATTATGGGTTAAATCTACTTTGCAGTCTAGCCTGGGATCCTAATCACCATGTGAAACATTTCACCTGGACTTTCAACCTAAAGACTTTCAAATTTTGGCTGTTATTCATTGTCACATTTGTTCAGAGGTGCAAAAGAAGGCTTTCTCACAAATGAGGATCCTAATGCAATATCCACAATAGAAAAAGCTAATTTGGGATTAAGTGATTCAGGAGGAGGGACAAATGAACCCAAGGAAAGAATACTCAAGACTTAAATGAGACTGCTTAGGTCTCATGTGACCTCCAGAAAGACCATCATGATGTGAGGTATTGTTTCTATGGGAAAATATTCTAACCCAGCAGGGTAGGCTGAATAATGACCTCCCAAAGATGTTCATGTCCTAATCCTCAGAATTTATGAATGTTACCTTATACAGCAAAAGGGACTTTGAAAATTCAGTTAAGGATCTTCAGATGGGGATATTATCCTGGATTATCTGGATGGGCTCAATGTAATCATAAGGTCCTTACACGAGGAAGGCAGGAGGTCAGGGTTGGTAGTAGGACATATGACCATGAAGCAAAAGTTAGGAGTGATGTGAGAATGGGCCCACGAGCCAAGAAACGCAGGTGGCCTGTAGCAGCTGAAAAGGCAAGGAAGTAGATTCTCTCTTGAAGTCTCTAGAAGGAGTGTGGCCCTGCGGCTACCTGAATTTTAGTCTTCTGATCCCTGTAACTGTAAGAGAATAAACTTAGGTTGTTTTAAGCCACCAAGATTGTGGTAATTTGTCACAGCAGCAATAGGAAACTAATACACACACTGACTTCAAATGAGCCTTTGAATCCATCTGTGATAAACTGCATTTTCCAAAGATAGCTGCAGAAATATCTCCTGTCTCACATACTCTTCTGCAGTGTCATCTTGCTGCTCCCTCATCACTATATGGAGTCTGTCCTTGCCACTTCTCCCCCTTGAACCTGGGCGGAACCTGGGATCAGTAGAATATGGTGGAAGTGACAAAATGCCTCCTAATTGGCCTGGCAGCTTCCACTTTCTTCCTCTTGGAAACTAGCTCCCATAAAAGAAGTGCCACTTTAGGACCAGCATGCTAAGAGAAACTCAGCCACATGGAGAAGCCCTGAAGCCTGACATATGGAGACATGCCATATGGAGAGAGAGATGCCAAGGAGACTGAGCTGTCAGACAAGTGAGTGAAAAGCTATCTCGGAGGTGGATCCTTCAGTGTGTGCAGCGGGGACAAACAGCCCAACCAAACCCTTTCCAAGCACTTGACCCACAAATCATGAGCAAAATAGAAGGAGTATTTTAAGCTACTAATTTGGGGAGTTGTTTGTTACTCAGGAAAAGATAACTAAATCCAACTTTTTACTAAATTGGTGACTATCTGTACAACAAGGTGATATCTATAATGTTATCTTCAGTGGCTATTAAGAAATGTGACGTTGTTGGCACTAAATGACCCCTAGTTACTTTAAAGTCCATAAATGTTTTATCTCCATCATTTCAGCTGTTATTTCTGCCAGATTGCTATATCTAATTTCCTAGAGTTGTAGTGAGGAATAAAATGGGTGAAGGAAAACTGCTTTGTAATATTGAGGCATTACACAAATATTATTGTATTAGCCTCTACACAACATTGGAAGAACTGAAAGTTGCCTGCAGCAATCAGAAACGCTAGCTCATTCCATTGACTTAATTGGAGACACTTTCCAAATCAGGCTGTGGTCTACAGATTTGAGGATAACTTCAGGTCTCTGCTACAGAATTAAGAACATAGATTTATGTGATAATAAATTTCCCTGCTAATCCAAGATCTTTTTCTCTCTCTGCTTTAAGGTTCTTCTCCAAAGAGAAGCTTCCATACACCTATTTTTCATGGTTCTGTATTTATTGTAATCTTGCTTGTAGATTTTTAGTTTTTCAAATATGTGGATGGAAACATTTAGGGTTGATATTTTGAGTGCTGAATCCTGTAAATCCACAGAAGCGTAAAGTTTCTACTCTTTGGGTAATTTCTATCTTGGATGACTTCAGATCAAGTTATGTGTGTCTACTCTGAGATCACGTGTGTTTGCATTTTCAGGTTGTCTTGGCTCTTTCCGAGCTGGACTGTTCACTGCTGCACGTCAGTCGACGAATGCTTTTCCTGACCTCAGGAGCTGTGTCAATGGTAAACACCCTACCGTCAATTTAAAACACAAAGCAAAACAAAACCTGCAAGCACAGTACACCTGTCAATATAGCTAGTGTTTAAAAATCAATAAACGAGCCCTTGGAGGGTTGTGTGCCCAGCAAGGAGGTATTTTCAGATGTAAATGCTACTGTTTTACTCAAAGTGAATTTTCCATCTAATGTTTAAATTAATCGTGTTCCTTATTTACTAAACTTCAGGTCATTGACTTCAGAATGTTATTCCCAGCAGCTTTATTTTGCCGCCTGTTGCGTAATCGTGTAGTATGCATGTTACAGTTGTAATAGGTCAAAGTGGAGCCGTGTTTACTCTTCTAACTTCTGACATCAATAATATAAATGTGGAAAATGTTACGATACCAAATTAGCCTTCTCCCTCTGAAGTTCACGTAGGGTCTAGTGATAATTCTGGTAGATTATTTGTCTCTAATTTGCCAGTTTCCCAACTGAGAGTCAGAGAGAAAAAGGTAGAACTGCCAGATGTGAATTGGGATGTTTGTCCAGTGAATATTTTGCATGCAACATTGGCATTATCTAGATATTTATTTGCATTTTATCTAATTTAAAGTTGGTTATAATTACACAAGTAAAACAGTTTGCCTGAACATGCACATTTAATTCACATTTTATCTTTTTTTAATTTACCAAAGGACAGGAAAATAATTTGATAATTTTCTGATGTCTTTCTATCATACTAACTAATACCTAGTTTATTACTACTTTTCAAAAAACTTATGGGGTCATTTTTTGAAAAATTCAGTAATTAGGTTTTAGCTAGGTTTTTAAAAACATTTTTCTTCCAAGTAACAGAAATTTCCTCTGAGTAACTTAAGCAAAGGGGAATGACCTGGAAGGATGGAAGGAACTCGTAGATTCAACGAAGCCTTGAGCAGCAGGTGTGGAAATGTGCAGGGAGCAAGGGGCCACTGTGGTATCTAGTGAGGGGTGAGAGACCACAAATGAGGAAAGAAGCAAATGGGCCTATCGTTTAAGATGGTGATGAAGTGCTGTGACATTTTATGAAGAAAACATCTCTCCCCGAGGAATCACAGAACTCTGCTACACGTTGTCCAATGTCTCAAAACCATTGTTTCATATATTTCAACCAGAGTTCTATTTATTTAAGGCAGGAGGATAAATCTGGTCCCTGTTTCTCCATCTTAGCCCAAGATGGAAGTCTCAAATTCTTTTTTCTATTGATATTGAGAGTAGTTTTATTCTGAATATCTCATGAAATTGTTTTAAGGATCAAGTAAGGTAATATATATGAAAAATATATAAATTATAGTTATAACGTACTGTATATGTTTGGAAATATAAAAGTAGCTTCCTTTTGCAAAATAATTATAAATGTTTGTCTAATGGACTCACTTTTTTATGAAAAAGTATTATTTCAAGGAAGGAGTTATAGTTTTTTTTCATTGATTGTAGGCTTTGTGCACAGGATTTCTATTAAAGGGCATATAATTCCATTTTACCATAGCATGTGGTAGAAATGAAACAGGTGTCTATTTCCTTCAGCCATTCCAAACCAGTGTAATCCTCTGCCGTGCAATGAAGATGGATACATGAACTGCAAAGATGGCCAAGCCACGTTCACGTGCATTTGTAAATCAGGCTGGCAAGGAGAGAGGTGTGAATTTGGTAGGTACAAGAAACCCACCCGGCTCACCTGGACTGGCCTCCTGAAAAGTTCTCTGAAGGCTTCATTACTTTAAAAATAATTTGTTTTCCCCTTTTTAGATATAAATGAATGTAAAGATCCCACAAATGTAAATGGAGGTTGCAGCCAGATTTGTGACAACACTCCCGGAAGTTACCAGTGTTCCTGTAAAAGTGGTTTCGTCATGCTTTCAAATAAAAAAGACTGCAAAGGTAAGAGCAAGAAGGTAGAATGAAAAGTTGTTTACTGTGTGAGAGCCAAGTCCAGTTAGAAGAATTTCCCCAGGAAATTCTTTTTTTTTTTTTTTTAATTTTATTTATTTATTTTTTCCCCCCAAAGCCCCAGTAGATAGTTGTATGTCATAGCTGCACATCCTTCTAGTTGCTGTATGTGGGACACGGCCTCAGTATGGCCGAAGAAGCGGTGCATCGGTGTGCGCCCGGGATCGGAACCCGGGCCGCCAACAGTAGAGTGCGCGCACTTAACTGCTAAGCCATGGGGCTGGCTCTTCCCAGGAAATTCTTGGAAAACTCTCTGGTTATAAGTCCTTATAGTAAATATACATTATTATCCACCTTGAAGCATTGGGATGCTATTGGACAGCCTTTTAGTTTATTGTTTATAGGGTATTTTGTTATTTGGAGTATTGTGTTGTTTTCTTAGTGTATGTATGTGTGTGCATGCACATGTGCGTTTTAATAAAGAATTTCATTGTATCCTTGCATACTTCAGTCTTTGCAAAATTGTTGTTTATACTTTTTTTAGACACTAATATTATTTCCTTTATTCCAATAAGATAAACAGCTATACAAAGAAATCCACCATAATCCTTAGTAACTTCTTCCATTGTATTTTATATTTCCCTGTCAGAAATACCTTTATAATTTCCAATATAAACCCTTCATCTTGCTCCTCATTTCCTGTTGTGGTTTTGGGAAAGATGAAGATCTGGTTTCCTTTCTCTGTATACATTTAAGATCACATCGTTGGTCATAATTCTTTTTTTTGTTTCAGACTTAAATAATCCCTGTCAGTTCAGCTTTTTGTTGTTGTTGTTGTTGTTGAGGAAGGTTGGCCCTGAGCTAACATCTGTTGCCAGTCTTCCTTGTTTTGCTGAGGAAGTATGTGGGACGCTGCATGGCTCGATGAGCGGTGTATTGGTCCATGCCTGGGATTATTGCGGGCTGCTGAAGCGGAACGCATGGGCCAGCCCCCCCACTTTAGCTTTTTAACAAGTCATTTTACTAGTGTATTTTTTTTATTTTTCTTAATGCTTCTCTTTCCCCCAAATTTTGACTTTTTTCTCTCTGTATGATGTCTTTTCCATTAGACTATTGTAGCTGCCATAACTAAATCTTCAAATAAGTGCTAGGTGTGGGGATGGCTGAAAATGAGATTTTCCAGCCTGGAGTTAAATTTTGCCTTTAGAAATTGGAAGCAAGTTTTCCTTCCTTCCTTCCTTCCTTCCTTCCTTCCTTCCTTCCTTCCTTCCTTCCTTCTTTCCTTCCTGCCTCCCTCCCTCCCTCCCATTTCTTTCCTCCTCCTCCTCTTCTTGCAGCAAGGTAAGGAAATTTACTAAGTTAAAGTATAAAGTTTTCTTGTTCAACTCTATTCATATCTGCTTTGTTAAATCCCCAACTTGAATTCATATTCAAGGAATAGTCTGTCTCTCACTGCGCTGTAGAGTTTGGTAGACTATGGTCTACTCTAAAGTGAAGTGCATTAACTAACAATTTTTTCTAAACAATTATCCAATTTGTGACCATATATCTTTCTTGTCGGCCTATTTGAGGGTCTGTTTGAGGTTTGAAATTTAGAATACCAGTATCATTAGAACACTGTTACAGAAAACCATCATAATGCAGAACACCGTATGCATTCCATAAGCAAGTAATCCCATTCATACTTCCACATTTAAATACTTGAATAGTCTGTCCTTCTAAAGAATTTGTGACATATTTTTAGTTGAAAGATATTTAATCCTTATCCATTGAATTAATACACATATGTAAATTATTACAAAAAGTTCTCTTATATGTAAGAATGTCCCTGATGACCAGAACATATGTTCTCGTATACTTTATTTACATAGTCTTTTATCCATGATACCTGAGTGATAGAGTACAGAACTGTTGGAAGAATATCTATGCAGCTATTACAATAGGGCCTTTGCCAAGATGTGGATTTTCTTGGGATCAAGTTGCCAGTAAATGTCTAAAAATGCAAGAATAAAACTTCTCATTAGACATTGGATGTCATATAGAGTCATAAAATACAGTCAGTATAGTGCTATAACCTGAACGCATATAATTTAAATAATTCCTTGCAATATGCCTCAAACCAATACTTTTACCTTGTTTTAAAAATATTGATCTTATAGCTCTTTTTAAAAAAATAGCTATTTTAGTGGCCGGCCTGGTGGCGCAAGCGGTTAAGTGCTCGCGCTCCGCTTTGGCGGCCCGGGGTTTACAAGTTCGGATCCTGGGTGTGCACCGACGCACCGCTTGTCAAGCCTTGCTGTGGTAGTGTCCCATATAAAGTAGAGGAAGATGGGCATGGATGTTAGCTCAGGGCTAGTCCTCCTCACACACAAAAAAATAGTTATTTTATTTTGAAGTAATTATAGATTCACATGCAGTTGTAAGAAATAATAAGAAGAGATCCCATGTGGCCTTTTCTCAGTTTCCCCCCAGTAGTAACCTTTTACAAAACAATAGTGCATTATCATACCCAGGATATTGACATTGACATGGTCAAGATACAGAAAAATTCCCTTACCATAAGGGATTGCTTCTGTTCTTTTTGTGCATGTTATTATTATTATTTTTTTTTGGTGAGGAAGATTGGCTCTGAGCTGACACCTTTTGCCAATCCTCCTCTTTTTGCTTGAGGAAGATTGGTCCTGAGCTAACATCTGTGCCAGTCTTCTATTTTGTATGTGGGTCGTCGCCAGAGCATGGCTTGATGAGTGGTGTAGGTCCACGCCTAGGATCCGAACCTGCGAACCCCAGGCCACTGAAGTGGAGCGTGTGAACTTAACCACTATGTCACTAGGCCAGCCCTTGTGCATGTTATTTTAAATAGAGTAGTGTCTGAAATTTTGACTACTAGTCTGTGGAAAAATTAAACTCTCAACTACTTAGAGTATAAAATATATTTTTCATTCTGAACTTGTCTTAAGAGAGGAGAGGAGAAAAGTTCACTAATAGTTACATCTCCTTTGAACTATCTCTGTCACTCATTTTGTTTTCTCCCAGGTGCTTGTGTAGTAACTAGTTGCAGTCAATACTTTGTCTCCTACTTGATTATGTAACATAAACACATTTGAAATTTCTGGAACATTAATTTTGCACTAAAATTTGTATTGGATTAACTGCATCTTTATAAATACTTTGAGGCCTTCTCAATCTCATTTTAATTTTGAATCACTATTGAATACTTTAGGCAACAATAACAGTATGCAGATTTAGTTATTGTCTATTTCCAAAGGAAAAATGTAAGACTGATGAGCCATCTCATTTTTAAATTCATATTTGTGATAATACAGAGTGACTGTATGTTAAAGACCATATTTCAGAAACATGTATTTAGGAATACATATTAAGAATATGGTGAATCTCTTCTCTCATTTATTTTCATGCTGTAACCTGGTAGATAAGAAAGGAACTAAAGCCCTCTCCTTCTTTTATGTAACTAAAAGGAACATGGCAAACATCAGTCAAATTCCCTATGCGTTTGTATCAAGAAATCATATTTAGTGAACTAAAATATGGTGATAGATTTCATATTTTGTTATTCTCAGGCCACTCTGTTGTCTCATTGCATATGTTAAACTAGGTCCAGGAAACCCACATCAAGGGTTCTTTGCAAGCATTTTCTGGTATGGGAAAAACGGTTTTTAATATATTGGTTTCATTTATAGATGTGGATGAATGCTCTATGAAGCCAAGCGTTTGTGGCACAGCTGTGTGCAAGAACGTCCCAGGATACTTTGAATGTGAATGTGCCGAAGGCTACAGCTACAATCCCATATCGAAGTCCTGTGAAGGTAGAGTTGCAGGAGTGTCGTTGTTGACCTTGGAGGGGGTGGGTTTCAATCCTGATTTTGTATTAGAAGCATCGTTTCTATTTGACATCAACAGTCAGGTTTTCTAAGATGGTACAATTCATGATATAGTTTGGTCGACTAGGTCATCATTGGCTTCCTTCCAGAGAACAAGTTTGTGGGGCACGTGGTCTTTAGGTTAGTGTTATGTCCTCCTTAGATTGGCCCTCCAAGCTATGTATGAATTGGAGACTGCCTGTGTGTGATAAAAGCAAAATAAACACATTTTCACATCATTTAAACCATATTCAAAGATAAAAATAATTTCAAGCTAGAAGGAGAAACACACACATTCAAAAAGAAAGACAAGCTTAAAAATCACGTGGGTGTTATAAGGAGGATAGTTAGAAGTTTTCAGTTTCATGCCAAGCTTTTCAGTGATTTTCTGTGCATATATCAGTATGTCATTTATTGTAAAATAGGAAATGACACAGTTCTGTTATAATTAAATATGCATAAAAGTCTCGTAATAAATGACAACCGAGCTCTAGAAATTTGAGAAGGACTGATCAGTGATACCAGTGCTTGTGGATCTGGGAGAGCCCCTGACTTGTTGTTGCTTCATTTGGCTGCAGTGGTGCTGCCATGTGCCTCAGGAAGCTTAGACGTATGAGGAGATTTTGTTTTTTTTATCATGGATATGTACAAATTATTTCCCATCTTCCTTTAAATTTTTAAAAATTTCAAAATAAATTTAATACCATGACTAAAACTAATCAAATCAATAGTAATTTTTCTATTGTGGCAAAATATATATAAGATCTAATGTGCCCTTTTAACCATTTTTAAGTTATTTTATTAAAGTCTTATTGGCTTATAACATTGTGCAATTTCAGTGTACATTATTATATTTCAGTTTCTATATAGACTGCATCATGTTCACCACCAATAGTCCAGTTTTTATCAGTCACCATATTTATGTGCCCCTTTACCCCTTTTGCCCTTTCCCCGTCCCCTTCCCCTCTGGTAACCACTAATCTGTTCTCCTTATCCATGTGTTTGTGTACCTTTCGTGTATGAGTGGATCATATGGTGTTTGTCTTTGTCTGGCTTGTTTCACTTAACGTCATATCCTCAAGATCCATCCACATTGTCACAAATGGCACGATTTTGTCTTTTTGTATGGCTGAGTAGTATTCTATTGTATATATATATACCACATCTTCTTTATCCATTCATCTGTTGATGGGCACTTGGGTTGCTTCCCATCTTGGCTATTGTGAATAATGTTGTGATGAACACAGGGATGCATAAATCTCTTTGAATTGTGGATTTCATGATCTTTGGGTAAATACCCAGCAGTGGGATAGCAGGATCATATGGTATTTCTATTCTTAATTTTTTGAGAAATTGCCATACAGATTTCCATAGTGGCTGCACCAGTTTGCATTCCTACCAGTGGTGTATGAGGGTTCCCTTTTCTCTACATCCTCTCCAACACTTGTTATTTCTTGTCCTGTTAATTATAGCCATTCTGGTGGGTGAGAGGTGGTATCTCATTGTAGTTTTTGATTTGCATTTCCATAATAATTAGTGATGTTGAACATCTTTTCATATGCCTGTTGCCATGTGTATATCTTCTTTGGAAAAATGTCTGTTAATATCCTCTGCCCATTTTTTGATCAGGTTGTTCATTTTTTTATTGTTGAGTTGTATGAGTTCTTTATATATTTTGGAAGGTAACCCCTTGTTGGATATGTGATTTTCAAATATTTTCTTCCAGTTGGTGGGTTGTCTTTTCGTTTTGTTGATGGTTTCCTTTGCTGTGCAGAAGCTTTTTAGTCTGATGTAGTCCCTTTGTTTATTTTTTCTTTTGTTTCCCTTGCCTGAGTAGAAAAGATACTGCTAAGACTGATGTCAAAGAGTGTACTGCGTATATTTTTCTTCTAAGAGTTTTATGGTTTCAGTCTTACATTCAAGTCTTTAATCCATTTTGAGTTAATTTTTGTATATGGTCTAAGATAACGGTCTACTTTCTTTTGAAAATGGATGTCCAGTTTTCCCAACGTCATTTATTGAAGAGGCTTTCCTTTCTTCATCGTATGTTCTTCATCTTTTGTTGAAGATTAGCTGTCCATAGATGTGTGGGTTTATTCCTGGGCTTTCAGTTCTGTTCCATTGATCTGTGTTTCTTTCTGCCAGTACCATGCTGTTTTGATTACTGTAACTTTGTAGTATATTTTGAATTCAGGGAGTGTGATACCTCCAGCTTTGTTCTTTTTTCTCAGAATTGTTATGGCTATTCAGGGTCTTTTGTTGTTCCATATGAATTTTAGGATTCTTTGTTCTATTTCCGTGAAGAATGTCATCGGGATTCTGATTGGGACTGCATGAATCTGTAGATTGTTTTAGGCAATATGGATGTATGGTAACCATTTTTAAATGTACAATTTAGTAGTATTAATTACATTCACAGTTATGCAGCCATTACCACCATCTGTTCTGAAACTTTTTCATCACCCCAAACAGAACTCTGTAACCATGAAGCAGTAAATTCCTCCTCCTCCCTCTCCCAACCCCTGGTAACCTCTAATCTGCTTTCTATCTCTATAAATTGGCCTAATTTTATTTTATTTTATTTTGTGAGGAAGATCGGTCCTGAGCTAACATCTGCCAATCCTCCTCTTTTTTTTTTTTTTGCTGAGGAAGACTGGCCCTGGGCTAACATCCATGCCCGTCTTCCTCTACTTTATATGGGACGCCACCACAGCATGGCTTGACAAGCGGTGCATCGGTGTGTGCCTGGGATCCGAACCGGTGAACCCTGGGCTGCCGCAGCGGAACGCAAGCACTCAACCGCTTGCGCCACCCGGCCATCCCCGCCTAAATTTAGAATAGATTTTTTTTTCAATTATTTATACTCTTTTTGAGATTTTGATATCTTACCTCCTTGTGCACTCACCAAAAAATATCACCCCCAAAACCATTTCTATTCTTCCACCACTCCAGATAGAAATTACTGTGGTAATTTGCAGATTAATCATTAGCCAACTTCATCATCCACATTGTAGTTTTATTTAATGAATGCCAACTTTTTAAGAAAAAATTTATATATGATATATATATATAATATTTTACTACTTTAATCGTATATCATTTGATTTTAATGGCATTGAGGGGTCATTAATTTTGGGGTTCTATTTTAAGGCATTTTGTGGGAGAACTTATGCTATAATAGTATTTATGAATTTGGGAATTTTCAAAGGTCATAGGGTGCATTCATCAAAAAGATCAAGGATCTTGTGTAGCTCTGAAGTGGACTTTAGCTGAAGCATATTATTACAACTTTTCAAGAATGAGTTTCTCAAAATATGAACTGGGGACAGGGACCACATAGAAGATTTTGCAATAGAGGAGGTAATAGCATAGTGAGGTTTTTTTTAAAAAAGATTAGTTAAGAAGAAATAAGGTTATGTCCTTAAATTTATTTCCACCATTAATCATTGCATTATCAAAAGTCAAATGTTCTTGATATTGTCATTTATTCCAAGTTACATTAACCTTCATTTAAAAGGGATCTTTTCTTCCCTTTCATCTCCTCTCCCCTCCCCTCCCCTTCCATTTCTTTTTTTTCTTCAAAGCAAAGAATTGAGAGGTAGTTTCATTGGAATTCGTATAATCAGAATGACAGGTAACTTGAGATGCTGTCTTTTTTCTTAAAAATGAGAAAATTAGTATAAATTGTTATATTTTTATTAATTATTAATTACTGAAAGTTATACATTACATTTGTTTTTTCAAGTATGTAAATAAATAGAAATTACACTTATAACTCATTTAAATTTCTATGCCAAGTGTATAAATGTGATTTGATGTCATAGGGATTTCTTTCATTAAGGACCGATTATCATTGATTATTTCATACTGAAATCAGAATACTCCTTCTTCTATTGGATTGAACATTTAGGAGATATTAAAATTTATGTTCTCTTTTACCCCAGATGTGGATGAGTGCTCTGAGAACATGTGTGCTCAACTTTGTGTCAATTACCCTGGAGGTTACTCTTGTTATTGTGATGGGAAGAAAGGATTCAAACTTGCCCAGGATCAGAAGAGTTGTGAGGTAACATTTTGTGATGCTAAACTTCCCATCTCTTTTTTAAAGTAGGAGATTCAGGTACTTATTTTCACAGAGCTGAAGTGAGTCAGGAAAATACACATGTTCTATAGTAATTGCTATAGTTCTAGGCAGGCTATGAGTCATAATATTTTTACTAATTTTGGTCAAGTGAGTGTAAACATCGGGGGTGATTAGTGAGTGAGTAAAAGCCGGGCAGCTGCAGAGTCACCGCTCAGACATGCTCATCTGTGTAGCCTGCACACTTACAAAATGCAGAGTGTATGTTTACTTAAGAAACTAGGAAAAACTGAGGTTCCTTCTCTTGTTGAGAAAAAATCTTCCATAGAAACCTGGTGAAAACATTTTCCAAGGCCTTCTTCTCTTTACGGCACTCTAGAAGTTTGATGATGCCTGAAGCATTGTTAGCACTTGCGAAAGTGCTCATAAAATTTCAGGAGGAAACAACTTCATCAGAATAGGAGTTAATGGGGTTTAAGTACATCAAAATTCAGAAAGGACTGTTTTGTTAATCTGTATCTCTCAAACTTGCTTGTAGTTACTTCGATGTAATTCATAATTGACCCAGAAATTAAATTTTGGGGGTAAGTTCAAGTTTTTCCTCCATTGAAATAAATAGGTCAACATCTGAAGCTCTTTTTTTTTCCCAAATGAGAATCCCGTGTTAGTGATCCTTAGTCCAATTCTTGCATCTCTTTTACTTTTTACAAGTGAAGGTGAAATTTTATATGATTATGGCAGACAGTAAAAAACAAAACAAAACAAAAAACCGCTAGATAATGATTTAATCAGGTGTCTACACATACCTCCACATCTGTTACCAAGACAAAGCTGTATGTATCCAAAAAATGTGACATTCGATATTATGCTACCTACCTGATAAGAAGATAAAGTAAGCTAGTTGGCGTGTGTACTAACTTTGGTGGTACTTCACTGAAATGCTGTGCTGTGTGAATGTCTGTTTTGTAATTTAGTCTCATAATTCCAGATTTGTTGTGGTCGCACATCACCATCTACCTTGGATAGATATATTGAAGTTCTAAGAGGAAATGAGATGTTATTTCTGAATCTAGATCTCCCCCTAGAATATCCCTATATGTATATCCAGGAACTTATCCCTAAAAAGCTTTCCATTTTAAAATTTGTTTCTACTCTTAGGAAAAAAATACTTGATATCAGATTTAATGACTCTAAATCAGTTTTTTTGTAAATTTCTTGGAGATTAAGATGATATCTTAATTTATATTTATCCCATTCAGATTTTCCAGCATACCTTTACTATCTAGATAGCACATTTTTGCCCAGAAAATTTTTGCTAATAAATAAATGAGTGAATGAATGAGGTGCTGTTTATTGGTAGATACCTTACTTCTTCCACCAATTTCTGGCTCCAAATAAAAATAATTTTCAGATATAATTCATGGAACACATCATAACTGCAGTTAGTTAGGGGATACATGTTGTTGGAAGAAAAAGGCTGTGTTTTGGACTGAGATTTGCAAAGAAAAGATTAAAGACAAAAATCTACAGTCACACACACTAAACAAGACTTTAAAACACACGTATTCTTGGAGGTTATACAGAGGGACTAGACAAGGAAGTAAAATATATTAATTTATTTTAGTGAATGTTAGAAGATGTGTTTGACAAGAACATAGGAACCAGAGAAAGGGAGCGAAAGCTACACAAACACTGAGCAGTAACTATGCATTTTGTCTGTTTCCTTTTCTCCAGGCTGTTCCAGTGTGCCTTCCCTTGAACCTTGACAAAAACTATGAGTTACTTTACTTGGCAGAGCAGTTTGTAGGGGTTGTTTTATATTTAAAATTTCGTTTGCCAGATATCACCAGGTGAGGTGTCAATGTCAATAATAATTTCTAGAGTTAAGCAGGTCAGCACAGAAGAAAAGAAGTGACTGAAAAGATTTGAAATGTATGAAATTGCATTATCAATCAGATAATTTAGGTATATTATCAATCAGATGATTTGTGGAATCCTAAAGTTCACTTGCTCTTTCACACATGTAATTTTCATGCTTGAACCATTTTGGGTCATTCTGGGCCAAGCTTCTCCAATGATCATTTTACCTTAATCCATCATTCTTCCCTTTCTAGTGAATACATATTTACTAAGAAGCTGCGAAAGTAGATTTAATGTAATGGTGAAATTTTCATTCTTCCTTATACATGTTCTACAAACTAAGTAATGAGAAAATACTCTTAAGTATTGCTTTTAGAATATAGCTATATTCATAAATATTAAGGAAATTTCACAAGCTTGCTTAAGTGGTATTTAAAGAAATGCATCACATGATTTTAGAGACTCTGAGCCCTTTGTCTGCTATTCCTGCAGTTAGGTTGACTTTACGGAAGGTGTTTTTGAGTCATGGTTCTACTGTAATTACCAAATTTTCTCAGAGCCATATATTGTTGGAACTAGAAAAAAGAAATTGGAATTTGGTTGGAATAATGGAAAGGAAACATATTTGAGCCTGATTACAGAGTCCAAATTTTAAAATATTTTAGTTAGATAAACAGGCATATTTAGAATTTAATTTGTTAGCTATATGAGTGATTATTCATTAAATAATTCAACTAAATTCATAGAAACCTTATCATTAAGAAACACTGAAATTTATTCCAAGATTCACTGATGTAATTGTGCTCTTTCAACACTCCCATTTCCCCAAGACCTGGTCTTCCCCTTTAACATCGCAGAGCAAATAATATTTTCTAGTGGTAGAGATTGGAGACAACCCTTCCTTGCTGTGATAATAATGAGAATGAGAGAGAAAAAAGTTAATTATTGCATATCTTCAGGCTCTTTCAGGGGTATTCATTTCCCACTGACAATTCACAATAGTTTGGGCTCCAACATTGACTCAAATTGGCCAAATAATAATTTTTTTCCACTGTTTATTTATTTGTTTATTATTTATTTCGGTTAAGCTTTTTATTGAAGTATAATATATGTATAGAAATGTACATGTATCTTAAATGTACAGCTTGATGAATTTTTATAAATCGCCACCTGTGTAACCAACACAAAGAACAGCTAACACTTTTTTGTTTTTTCTCTTTTTTTGCAAATTCCTTCAGCTCTGTTTCCCATGGTCAAATACTTCCTTACTCAAAAGTTAACAAATTCACTCTTTTATTTATGCTGCAATACTTCTGAAAAAGAATGAACTGTTCCCCAATGTAATGAATCCATATGCTGATGTATTCCAGACAGAAAACATGTGGAACACAACTCTCTGAATTACTGGTTTAGCACGATTTTACAAAGAGAAGGAAGTTGTCTCCATAACAGGATCAACTTCTGGAAGATCCTGAGCATAGATGGATTTGGGTTTTGGCAAGATAATGCATGCTTCACATCAGCAAGATGTGATGATTATGAAACAGAACCGAAGTTCTTATTCCAAGCAAAATGTTTTATTTTTTTAATATAATCTGAGTTCAGTACATTCCTACCACATTGTTATCTGTCCAGCATGCTTTACTCTACATTTACCTCTTTACCATATTTCCTTGGAATTCTAAAGACTAAGAAGTTTATTCTATCACCTTTCCTTTGTTCCATTTGAGGTAGATCTGTGCCCCGTTGCAAACAGTGCCTCTATTGCTGTTACTATTAGATGTGGAGATAAGAGTATGGGATTCTTTCTTACCTTACTTAGCAATTATCTGAAGTCCTGACTTTTTAACTTAAAATACCTTTATCTTAGATGACTAATAGTTATACAACTATTTTTCCTATTCCATTTGTCTTTTTTGAATCATTTTGATTTGCTGGTCCCTTGGAAACTTTATGCTGATTCTCATTAAAGTGTCCTGAGGGCACTGACTCAGTACATGTTATTTTCAATCCAGCATCCTCAGACTTTTCCTCCTCTGTAATAGCTCCATATGTGTCTGGAGTCTTGATAGCAGCAGGCATTGCCAGAGCTCAGACACCCCCAAACGCATGGCTACACTGTATCTTTAAACTCTCCTTCCACGTACTCTAGTCTAGTGATTTGTGCAATTAGATCACTGATGGGAGAGCTTTCGAAATCAAGCTAACAGATACATTTTAAAGTTTTTAACTTTACCTTCCTTACCACACATGAAGGTGTAATTATGTCTGCAATCATCCAGATGAAATCATAGGGAAAATATACTTTTTGATGGATTAACCAATCATGAAATTGTAACATCTTTTACTAATTACTTATGGATACAGCGGGAAAAAAATAATGTCAGATTATATAGTGTATAAAAGGTTCCAGGAGAGATACAATATGCCTAATATTTGTACATGTGTATTAATTCCAGCATTTGAAAGAGTGCCTTCAAAACAAATACCAAAAAAAGATGAAAAATTACCAAAGCATCTGTTGACTGGGAAAAAAACTTCCAAGAATAAGCAAAACAATACAGTAACTTGATTTTAAACACACATGGAGTCAGAGATAATACATGAGCAGTGTAATTCTGCCTTTCTCTTTTATTAATTTCAGGGAAAGAAATAAATAGTTGACTCTTTCAACATGTTGTTGTTTGCCAGTATAAGAAAAAAAAGAATAATACATTGAGCCTTCCATATTTCTCATTATTAAGGCTGTCTCTTTTCCCATTGTTTAGATTTTCAGCCGAATTTGATTTCCGAACATATGATTCAGAAGGTGTTATCCTGTATGCAGAATCTCTTGATCACTCAGCTTGGTTCCTGATTGCACTTCGTGATGGAAAGATTGAAATTCAGTTTAAAAATGAATATACAACCCAAATCACAACAGGCGGCAAAGTTATTAATAATGGTCTATGGAATATGGTATGTTTTACAGATTTTGTGAATAATCCTCCCAATTTGATGCCGTTTGTATAAAATCATTAATAATTTACTTTTATAGTGATACCAAACCAAAATGGGGCTGAGTTTATCTGATGTTGTGTATAGTATATTCTACGCACTGTAAATCCCTGAAACGGCCTGAGAAATGGTAACCTCTCTTGATGTACTTAGGATTTCCTGTAACTAAAGTTGTTTTCAGTTATTTGAACTACTCTGTCTTTAACTTTTTGCCTTTTTTTAGTGGCTGTCATTGGGTGAACAGGGGTGCCTCTCTTATAGGAATTATTAACAGGCATAACAGTTTATGCAAAGACTCCACTGATCAAGGACTACACTGGATAGCCTCTAATATTTTTTAAATGAAAAAGAAATACACACAGTAACAAAATCAAAAAGTTAATTCAATTTTAAATCTTAGCATATGGGTAAATAATCGATTTGTATAAACAGTATATACTAGCCAGTACCACTCATAGTGCTTAGAAACTAGCATTTTTAGATGATCCCTAAAAATGAGTCTTTATTTTAATAATCAAGAACAACCCTTTAATCAACTGGATTAAATGGAGCTTTTCTTGGAGAAGGGATTACTACTAGTCAATAGTGGGGAGAATTCTTTTCTGCAATGGAGTCATTGCTACTCTCAGCTGAGAGATCAGTTTCACCTTAGAATGTGGTACCCAAAAGAGACGCTTTCTTTGCCTGTGGGAACTGTGAGAGGTCCACATTGAGAAGCCATGTGATGTCATCGCTAAATCATGTCGTTCCTTTGTTTACCCACTCATGCACTCATATATTCAATAACTTTTAGTGAGCACTTTTAAAGTGCTAAGTTCCTGCACCTCACAGTCTAGTAGCTGATGCTGCCTTATGAACTGATACAGTGTAATGTGAAATACATTACAGTAGAGGTAGTAATAAAAGTACAGTTGAGCACAGATGTGGTTCACCAAAAAGAGGGCTATCTGTCCTTTGGCAGCCATGGATTTTGGCCTCCTAACTCTAAAAGCATAGTATCTGCACAGGAGCAGATGCAACTGTCAGAGCAATCACTAAAATTCTCTGGCTTCTCCTGATGACCTCATCAGTGTAGCTTTGCTACTCCATCTTTCCTACAACATCTACATCTAGAGTATTTGATGCATAAGCTATTTCTCCAGTGTGCTGAAGAAAACATTTTACTGCCTAATGTCCCCAAATCACCTATCTAAAATCACTTTTTCATTAAAAGAGAGTAAACACAGAATTTTTTTCCAATGAGTTTATACAAATTGAAAATACAGCTGTTTGAAGGAGAATTTAGATAAACTTCTAGGTAGGATGTTATATATAAGAAGCAAGCCAGACTGAGGTCCTGGAGGCAAAGTAAGAACAGCTTTCAAGGAGGGAATAATCATTAAGGTAAAATGATGCCGGTTGGCAGTGTTAAGGACAGAACATTGACCAACTTTAAATCTGTAAATGTTCCCAAATTTATTTCTCTGTAGAACACAGTTTTTCTCTTGTAGTGGTGCATTAATATGCCTATTGTTTGGCTTCCATTACTGACTAGTAAGTGAAGAGTTTGCATTTTGAGTGCTACAGTTTTACATGAGGAGACTGCGGCAATGGTTCTTCGAATTGCCTTTTTGGGAGGATTTTTTTTTACTGTTGTTTACCATCACTTCCAACCTTTTTTAAAAACCCAAACTGCTTTCAAAATTGGAAAAACCCAATTTAGTTTTGTGTATTGTGCTTCCTTATGACTTCAATTACTTTTGAATTTTGAAATAAAATATAATTTGCGTGTAATGAACAGAATACTGGATGTATTGATTTCTCAATTCATATTAAGAATTTATTTACATTATTGATTCCATATGTGTACCATCAGACAATTGGAAAATAAGAACACTTAAAAGTTTTTTAAGATTTTGTAGAGTAACCCACTTGTTTTTTTAACTGTTAATTTTATGGCATCCTGGGGTTGAACTTTAAAATATGGTGTTCATTTAATTTTCAATCAAACACATTTTTAAAACACATTTTTATCACCTTTATAATAATTTGACATTTCAAATGGATTAGAACAAATTAATAATTACATTATAATGATTACTTTGAAAAATCATTTGCTGGGATAATAACATGATTTTTCAATATTAGTGTTTCAAATGACACGCTGTGATGTCTGATTGCTTGATGATTTTTGTCTCTTTAATTGCAGGTCTCTGTGGAAGAATTAGAATACAGTATTAGTGTAAAAATAGCTAAAGAAGCCGTGATGAATATAAATAAACCCCAAAACCTTTTTAAGCTTACAAATGGATTTCTAGAAACCAAAGTATACTTTGCAGGATTACCTCGGAAAGTGGAGAATGCACTCATTAGACCGGTAATGATTCAAGCTTATATCATTTGTCATGGATGAATTCCTTCCGTCTGGAATAGATTTGAAGATGTGTTTTTCTGAAAGTCAAAAGAAGTTATTTTGTTGAATATACCAACTGTGACAAGTTGTATTGGGCATGGAAAAATACCATGAGTGACGCTTGAAATTATATTAAGGAAATGAGAAAATGAATGTAGTGTTTTTGAGCCCCTTTAAATCCCCAACATTACTTGCTTGAGAAGTAGATTTTTTAAATTCTCAAGCAACAAATCAATGTTAACATCATAATAGTTCATACTCAGCCATTACACATATAAATACGTATAATTAAGTCCAAAAATGCATTATTTTGTAGAAGCCAGTCAGAAACTTTCTTAGGTCTGTTTTAGGACTTAAATTTAGGAGATAAGAGTAGCACATAAGGTGGAACTTAAAAACAACCTTTGCTGGGAGTATAACCGCAGCCTGTCGTAGATTGAAGTTAGATACAATAGACGACTTTCTGAACATGATGTTTGTCTAATCACTGTGGAGTAGGTTTCATGAAGGAGACTAATCACTATACTTGAAGAGTTTTAAAAATTTCTTTTGAAGTCATGGGCCTGCCAATTACACTTGCTGCTTTTACTTAAATATTTACCATTTTATACCCATCTTTCACTCATGGTGATTCACAGTTACTTTAACTTCTAAAATATTTCTGTGATATAAAACCTGAATTCAAGTTAACCCACGTCAGAGTGAATACACTTATCCTTTGAAATTGATAAATCAAGACATTTTAAAAGTAAAATAAATTATTCAAAAAGAATCAACTATTTATGAAATGGCTACTACATGTCTTGAGTCTGGCTGGATTCTTTGCTGGAGACTAAAGAATGCAAACACTTTGGTTCCTGAAGAGACTTAGTGTCTGATGGCAAAACAAACCTATGTTGTAAATGCAATGAAAGGAAAACAGGAAGCAGCTTAGAGCCCAGGGCCACAGTAGAAGCATATATGGAACTTGAGAGCAGAAAAGTTAACCCCTGGGTGATATGGGAGAGGAACATGGGGCTTGAGGTGTTAAAAAACCATTAGGAGCCCAGTGGAGGTCTGTGATGGCATAAGCTAACTTTTACTGAAAAAGACTGTCCATCTGAAGGACACCTTGAAGAAAATTTAGATAAAATTCAAAATATTTTAAATATTTTAAAATGTCATCAAAGAAAATGTTTTCCCTCTCACTGAAAACCCACAGCTATAATCCGTTAAGCCACTTATGAGTCTGACTTGTTTAAGTTTAAAATGCACTCCTTGACTTATATTTTAATATGTTAGATTAACCCTCGTCTGGATGGATGTATACGAGGCTGGAATTTGATGAATCAAGGAGCTTCGGGAGTAAAGGAAATTATTCAAGAAAAGCAAAATAAGCATTGTCTTGTCACTGTGGAGAAGGGTTCTTACTTTCCTGGTTCTGGAGTTGCTGAATTTAGCATCAATTATAGTAAGTGATTTTCCATTTTATCTCTCTTTTTTCATTAATGGCTAAATTTATTCGTTGACAAACAGCAATAATTCCTTCAGTAAACATTACTGAATTCTTACTATGTGCCAGCATAGTGTTAGGCATATTTGTACTGTTAAATAACTTTTTTATAAAATTTTTCCAGTATATTAGGGGGGAAAGTTTGTTGAATACACCAAATAATATGTTAGTATTTAAAGATTATTGACACAAACTGATTAATTTTAGGCAAATTAGACTGACCTATTGTAAGGTTCACCAATTTCTCAGTTGTACTGAGTCTACTGACTAATGCATCAAAAGGATTCATCTTCATTTCTAGCATTTCCATTTGATCCTTTCTTAAAATGTTGACCTCTCTGTTGAAATTTCGCATCTGTTCATACATGTTGTCCATCTTTTCCACCTGAGCCTTCAACTTGTTAATCATAATTATTTTAAATTCCCTGTCTGATAGTTCCAACTTCTGTGACACATCTAAGTCTGGTCGTGTTGATTGCTTTGTCTCTTGACTATATGTTGTTTTTCCTTGTCTCTTTCTGTATTGCATAATTTTTGATTTAAAGAGGGGCATCTTATGTAGAACAGTAGAGATGGAGATAAATAGTATTTATGTCTGGAGATGAGCATACCTCTGCTTTTGCTAGGCCCTTAATGAAGGGGGTTGAATCAATCTAGTCAAGAGTTGAGCTGCTTAGGTTTTCTTGTTTCCATGACTACCCTTCACATTCCTTCAATATTACCTTGTGCTTAGGGTGGTGGCTGGTTTGCAGAGGATTTTTCTTAGTAGCTGATCCATCCTCTGCTTTAGGTATTTCTTTTATGAATACCTTTAGGTATTCAAGAAAATGTCTCTCCAAGGTCTTGCCTCACCCCAGAAGGGTACTCTTACTTGTTCCTTGACATTTGCTAGTGTGGTAGAGGGGTCTGGGGGTCAGGGGAGCATTCATTCTCTAATGTTCTTGTGCAGATTCAGTCTTAGGCAGGTGTTGTATCCCTGGGTCTCAGGGGTGTGGACTTTTTGTCGTCCCCTCCCCGCCACCAGTGTAGGGGAGATATCTAATGATCAGGACCCAAGATAGTTTTCTACTCCTTCTCCATGGTAAATGGTTTTTTTTTTTTATTGTTTGTTTTGTTTTTCCTTGTTTCCTTTCTCTAATCTACAGGTGCAGTGGGTCTTCACATGTGTTCTAATTGCGAGAAGGTTTGTTGTCTTTTCCTCAATGCTTTAAGGCTTTTGTTGCATGGAGGAGACAGAGAAGGATCTGGGTGGGACTTTGTGCCTTTCCTGCAGGTTGCTGCTGCTCTCACCCGGGCCTGCGCTAGGAGGAAAGCTTTCTCTGGTCTCTTTTTCTGCCCCCAGTTTTTCTACTGAGCACCCAGTAAGGTCTGTGAGGAATATCCTGTGAATGGGTGCTAATTTCCCACGAGTCTGCAGTTCCCAGGGCTTCTATACTCTCACACCAGCCCCCACTTGGACTTCAGCGATTTGTTAAAATTTTTACCTAAATTCTTCTTACCAAATTGTATGGTGTATGGTGTCTGTCTTGGGTAAGAGAGTACTCTCCTTCTCTCCTTGGAAGCACCTGTCTTTCTTTAGGTTTCTAGTTAGTTAGTTGCTCTGCAACCTCAGTTATTTGATAGTTGAAGAAAAGTTGTGATTATGTAGATACTTGGTCTTCTGTTGTTGTTGTGACGGTGGGAGCAGTGCTCTTTTCAGTCTTCTATGGTCTAAGCTGGACACAAAATCTTGCCAGACTGAGCCCAGGTTTTTACCTTTATAAATAGTACTTCCTCGATGTCCTTTGACATGCATCCTTCAACCCTTATGTGGTTAACTCTGTAGGAGAAAATCTTAGATTATCCATCAAAGGTTATACAAATGTATAATTCCTACTGTTTGATCAGATTCTCTCCCAAAGATGTTTTGTCAATGTATGTTTCTACCAGCAGAATAAGAAAGTTTATGCTTGAGATTTGTTTCCAGTCTGAGGTTTGAAAAATTAAATCTTGTAGTTTTAAATATTATCCCAATTTCTACTAAAGTCGAGTATCTCTGCATATATTTATTAGCTATTTGTATATCTTAATTATTTTATTGGGTTCTTTATCTTTTTCTGTTCTAGGAGTTCATTATTTGAGCTACTAACACTTTGTATTATAAATTTTATGTTATCTGATATCTCTGCTTTAAGAAAAAATTATATTTCAAATGTGTTTATTTGCAGCCTAGAAAGGTACTACTACAGTTTTAAGGAATAATCTTACACTAGTACTTTTTGTTTTCCCAACATAAATTAATACAATGTCTTTAACTTCAGCTATATTCTGTATATGGAGGATTTTTTAAAAATGTTTTAATTGGGTTGATGACTGAATATAGGAAAAAACTAGGCCCATAATAATTTGTTCAAAGGAAAAAAATCTCTTAAAAGAAAATGAAAATCAGTTATATTGTATCTGAAAAAAATACTTTCATAAGTAATTAGTTATTTCATGGATAACTTGAAAGTGATCTACTTTTAATTAATATTTAATGTTATATTGTAATTTCTTTACATTTGTGTGTTCATTTTAGTTTGAGTTTGTCAATATCTTGTAGTAAATTTACTTATTTCAAGATGATTATATATATATATATATGTGTATATTCTTTTTTTTTCTCTTGGTTGGGAATTAGAGGATTGTAATGAAAAATGTAATAGCTTAGATGTGGCTAAATGGAAGAACATCTTGTCAAAGGAAAATTATTTTCTCCATTCACATTCACCCTTTCAATGCCTCTGAGTGGTATCTGGGCTATTGTTATATATTACTTCATATTAAATGAGGAAGACTTCATTCAGATTTTTAGGAATCAAACTATTTTAGAAACACATTAATTAAACAAATATTCCTTGAGTGACTACTGTGGGCAATGGTGGTAGAGACATGCAGAGCTGCATGCTAGTGGAGCAGATAGTTAGCCTAGTAATCAGGACAGAGGATGTTAAGTGTTGTGAGGGGACTCACAGAAGAAGAGCTCCTACTGGAATTTCAAAGTTAACTGTTGACTTCAGAGTGTTTCTCTACCATCACACTATCCAGCTCCCCCCATGTGTATAAATTGTGCTTTTCCTTCCCACTGCTCTAACCTCACCCCTTTACGGATGAGGGGTTGTGGGCTGGTGCTGGTAGCTATACCCAAATTTTCCCTCAGAAATATTAAAATAAATTTGTTGAACTTGCTTCTAAATGTGTACTTTAAAATAGGACCACTCTGAGATTTAAGCATTGTGAATATGCAAGGTAGAAGGAAGACCTGTTAATGAGAAAACAGGGAAAATTCATAATAATCCTTAACCCCACAATCCTGAATTCTATTTTAGGAAGAAGAACAGAAAGATGGGGCTCCATTTATGTGTTTCTTGTCTGCATTTAAAAAATTTTTCTTTTGTTTTGTTTTGCCTAGTTTATATAGATCATTGAGAAAGGAGAACTAGAATCTTTAGTTTTACACAAAAATGGCTTACTCAATGGCTTGAGTATTAATAAGATTGTAATAATTCCTCCTGGGGTGCACTTGAGGAGTACATTGATCCTGCTTCTGTTCTGTTGTTTAAACAGATAATATATCTGATGCTGAGGGCTGGCAAGTAAACGTGTCCTTGAATATTCGCCCATCCATGGACACTGGTGTTATGTTCGCCTTGGTTTCTGGTGACACAGTGCCCTTTGCTTTGTCCTTGGTGGACTCCACCTCTGAAAACCTTCAGGTAACTTTAGTCTAAACCTTTATAATCCTTTTTTGCTTGTTTTTTAATCTGTAAAATGGATATATTAGCAGTTATTTACCTCTAAGATTAAATAACTTATGTAAAGTATTTGGCACAATCTCCAGCACATCATTAAGGACTCCATAAAAGTCCATTATTATGACTTTTCTCCTGGCTTATTTCCAAGGTCTGAACCATGAAGTAAAGGGGAGAAATTGAAAAGCCTATTGCATCTGTAGCTAAGATTAGGCGGACTCAAACACAGGCTGCTTTGAGCCTTCCCAGAGTATGTGGAGATCCGCCCTTATTTAGAATCCTTGAGGTATCTTGGGAGTTAGTCTGTACTAACGAAATCGAAGTGAGTCTGATTACAATCCACTCTCAGATATTCAGTGCCTAATTATAACGCTTTCTGCTTTCTAGCACTCTTAATCTTTTTTCCCATGAGTAAATTAGGAAAGACTAGAGAAAACTAAAACCAGTCCACTTGGCTTCTTGCTGGCAATTCTGATTTGAAATTAGGAGGAAAAACAGGAAAAACTCTTGGATGAAAGGAAATATGAGAATTATCAGAAGATCTGTGTTATTCAGCCTTCTGATAGAGGCTAGGAGTTCTGTCCATGTGTCATCTGCAGTGGATTCCAACAAGTTACAGCAAGAAGGTTGTGTTTGTGCCAAGGTTGGCTTGGATGCTCTCTGTAGCTTTTGGAAAGAGACATATAATTGAATAATGCCTGCAGTAATAAAAAGGGTGCTGTTTGCAATTTACAGGATGATTGTGGGGAGCTTCTGGTGGTTAAACACAAGCAACCTAAAAAGATCCTGCCGAGTTTTTATCCCCAATCCACCACAGAAGATTCCTACATTTGGATTTCAGCTTGTTGTTTGCTTGTTTGTCTTTTTTTAAACAAAATGGAAATCCTATCTTCAGCACTATGTTCATATGGTAGAGGACTTTAACACATACCATGTCTTTGATATTTATTTTATCTTTTCTGTGTTTGTTACTGTGACTTCTCTCTTTTGCTTGTCAGATTGCCTTCTCAAGATCTGTGTACAATGTTTCATAACATTATTCCACATACTGTTGATCATTCTGGAACATTTTCTCAGCTGACTATCTTTAGGACTTATAGTGAGTTCAGGAATATGGACATGTATAACACAGTAACAGATTTCCTCAAACAACCCATATTTGCCACGTATAGACTTCGCATAACATCGGTACCTTGGAGTCCTAAGTTGGCACTTCAGACTGTCTTTCTACCACCTCACAACCCCCATCCCCCTAGTTTAGATTTTATTTTATCTCTTACTTTTACATTTCCTCTAACACATATAAGCTATAAGCATAGATCACTCTCAACAAGTTAAGTAATTTTGTGTATCAGCAGTTTGAAAAGTTCAGCAAAATGAATACATTTTCTCTTTTGAGAACCTTCTGGTAAGTACTCTGTAACTTACTGCCTGCAAACCCTGGTTTTTCTCTCTAGGCTTCTTCACTTGCTTTGTCCCAAGTCTACAGGATTGCTTGTATGGCACAAAAAACCCCTTCAGTCCTGCTGGTGTGTGTTTACTAAAGCACTTTAAATTTTCACATCTCCTCCCTGATAAAGAGTAATTCAGCTCCTTCCTTTTTCATGTATAAGTTTTGAAGTTAGGAAGCCTCATAAACAGAAAAATAATGCTGAAGATACTACTTTAGGTTCTCATTGTTGGTAAAACAGCTGTTGGTTTACTGAGTTTTCAGAAGCCTCTACACATTTACATCTCAGCTAGACCTCGAGTTTGTAAAACTAATGTATATTCTAAAATTACGATTATTTTAATAATTAGTAATTTTTCATTTAAACTTGGAGGCTCTATCATACCTTTTCTTTTTCCTCACTGAAATTCACTTTTTGAATTTCAAAAACTCAAAAGTCACTCTTAATGGCATTACCATTAGTACTTGCTTATACTGAGTCTTTGCTCTGTTCTTCAGGATATCTTGGTATCTGTTGAGAATATGGTAATATCTCGGGTAGAGGCCCTAAGTCTGTGTTCCAGCCAGCAATCCCACCTGGAGTTTAGAGTCAGCAGAAACAACCTGGAGCTGTCGACTCCACTTAGAAAAGACGTCGTCTACTCTGAAGACCTCCTAGGACAACTTGCCATCCTGGACAAAGCAATGAAAGGAACAGTGGCCACTTACGTGGGTGGCCTTCCAGGTATCTGCTTACTTTCTCTTCAGTTTGAAAAAGTATGTTTTTAATCAAATTGATGGTATTTTCAGTATGTAATTTTAGTAAAAGGGCATCAGAAAGGAAGACAAAATTCCAATATCCATTATTCTTTTCCTGGGGACTTGTACTGACATTTCATTGGTACATTTTTGTTTAATTTTTTTAATGATGAACTGAAACTAAGTTTTGCTGCATTTGAGCACTCTAGCCAGAAAGGATTTATTATTTCATTTCATCCTCACAATAGTCTTGTGAGTTCAATATCTATTCCCCAATTCATCCATCATTCACCCAATATTTATTAAGACCCTTTGTCCCAGTCACTAGAGACACAGTAATAAACCAGCAGATGTGATCCCTGCTGTGAGGCTTTTACAGTCTAGTAACATAGGCAGACACTAAACAACTGAGTGTGATATCTTCTATGAAGGAAAATATGGGTTGCTCTTAGAGCCTGAAACTGGGGACATGATCTGTTTGTGGGAGCCAGGAACAAGCTCTCTGAGGAAAAGACTAAGATATAAATCTGATGTTAGAAGGATTAAATAAAGTTAACCAAGTGATGGGGTGGGGATTGGAGTCAGTACTCAAGTAAAATGGTCCATGTGTGGGCAGGATGGGAAGGGTTCACACATTGAGGACCATATAGAAGATCATTATGGTGAGAGCATGTTGAGCAGGCAGATGGCAGTGCAGGATGAGGCTGGGAACTGAGAGAGGGGGTTGTAGACCTGGTTTAGGGTCCTGAGTCTTATTATAAGAGCCACAAGAATTATTAAAGAGTTTTAGATAAGGAAGTGGTATACCAATATTATAGTTTTAAAAATCCCCCCTGCATAATGGACGGAGATGGACAGGTGGAGACAAAAGTGAGTGAAGTGAGTTGGGGGCTACTAAAATAGACCACGTGGAGAAGCAGTAAGATACTGCTTCTCCTCTACTGCTATGCAACAACTATACTACCATCAACTGGTGTGTAATAAACAGTCTGGGCATTGTTCAGAGTGCTTCAAATGTATCAGCTCGATTTTCAAAAGAGTCCTGTGAGATAAGTATTATTATTACCCCCATTTTACAGATGAGGAAGTGAGGAGGCTGCTGGACTAGGGTGATGGCAGTGGAGATGGTGTACAGTGAATAGATTGGGGATGTATGTGAGAAACAAAATTAATAAGACTTAATGATTGACAGGCAGGTATAGGGATCTCGTAGGTATCTGGCACAAGCAGTTGTGTGGGTGGAGATTGCATTTACCAAGATGGGAAAAACTGGAGAAAAAGCAGGTTCATCTTTAACTTAATATTGGAAAATATGAAGTTGGCATCAACATTTTACTCTAAATGGCAAAAAAAATTGAGGCAGAAAGTTTTTTAGAAGTATTTTCAAATACCATTTGCAAATTATTCTCATCGTGAGAATTCTAAGTTTGATGTCTGGACTTCTAGTAACCTTAACTATATCACTGTAACTGCTCAGGATCTTAATTTCCCATATATGGAAATTTTATCTTGGTTTTTGGGAAATATAGGAGTAAATAGGCTCTAAATTTTAGATATAAATGATAGATAGATAGATGATAGAGTTAAGGGAGCATGGTTAATTATTAGGAAATATAAGTACAGTTCAAATGAATGAATTCTCTAATGAAGTCCACCTACTAACTTATTCACAAGTTAGTTGAATGCAATTTTAGGAAATAAAACAAACAATGAAAGAGTTCAAAAGAAGTAAAACTACCCAAATTTCAGTGGTTCCAGGACTTTGGCAACAGCACTGAGGACTGACTTCAGGCAAGATGTGTTTAGAAAAAGAGTGAGGAAAAATTGAGGGGAACTGAAAATTGAAATGTTAAGAGTGTAAACTATGAGATGGGTAAATTATTAATTGATATGCAAAATAGGCATGTTCAATTGCATGTTATGAATTAAAAATCAGGGGAAATTGATGGTTCTCAGGATTTTTATAGTAGTGGCATAATCTATGATGCTCAGATCAACTTGAAAAGGTTTCTTAAAAAATGCTATGAGCACATAGAAAAGTATGGACTTTATTCACTGTCTTGGAAAGTTAGAGGTGGAAAATTTGAAGTATATATATTTTTGCATAAGGTTCTAAAGAAGAAGAGTAAATGCTGAAAAATGTCCATGGGGAATTGAAATTCGCTAAGAGGAGAGGCCAAAAAAGGAGGAAGCAGGTAGAGAGAGGGATGTTTTTAAGATGAACTGTAGTTCTTAGGATTCAAGGGTGTTACCTAAGTGTTGAGTTTGATAAAGAGGGTGATAGTGTCGAAAGGCCCAAAGGCCCTAAACCGTTCACTGAAGCACCAGGGAAATTCTTTTTTTAGAACACCAAACGTTACATAAAAGTGAATTTCCTGTCATGGCTTGCCACTGTATGCTCAGCAAGAAGCTATTTCTTTGGAAAGTATAGAAATATGTTTTTATTCCAGCAATAATAAAAGAGATATATGCATCATGACATTTTGAAAGATTCCTGAGCGGCCGGCCCCGGGGTGTAGCGGTGAAAGTTTGGCGCACTCCACTTCAGCGGCCCGGGTTTGTGGGTTTAGATCTTTGCTGTGGACTTACACCGCTCATCAGCCATGCTGTGGCAGAGACCCACATATAAAGCAGAGGAAGACTGGCACAGATGTTAGCTCAGGGTTAATCTTCCTCAGCAAAATAAATAAATAAATAAAAAGATTCCCAAGTAGCTATAATTTGGAGTAGAAAAAATGATTTAACAATGCTTAAACTGTTGCTCAAATTTAAAGAGAAAATAATAAATTAGAACATCACAAGTAAGAATATGCTGTTTTCTACTTTTTTATTTATCTTAGATTTGGATGGAACTGACTGTGTTCATGAAATCAGAGGAACTCATGCTGAATTCAATGCCAAGCACAATAGTTTATATGCATAGGAGTCACAATGTAAATTTATTCGATAGAATTACATTATTAACTTTTCCTTTAAGATTAAAATTTTGTTGGAAATGGGAAGTCCGAAAAATTCCTCTAACTGTAAGCTGTTGACATGCTGCAAGTCTTGGGCTAAAACTTCAATATTCTGTACTTACAGACGTTCCATTCAGCGCCACTCCGGTGAATGCCTTTTACAGCGGCTGCATGGAGGTGAGCGTTAACGGTGCACAGTTGGATCTGGATGAAGCCGTTTCCAAACACAATGACATCAGAGCTCACTCGTGTCCGTCAGTTTTGAAAAACACAAAGGGTTCTTAAGGCATCTTTTCTCTGCTGATAATATCTTTTTCCTGTGTGTAATTTTACTTACGTTTCAGTAATAGCTGAAGGGTTTTACCTGCAATGTTCAGACCTTGATTATTAAGTGGTACATTGACCTTCCTGGAATTTTAAAAAGGTCTTTTTTCAAGAAAACAAGATTCTCTTGTGATATAAATAGCATTAAAAAATTCTTACCTCTGTTGCTGTCTAGAAATTAAATAATGAAACACACAAAGATTTTTAATTTGAATCTTTTGCTACAAATGACCTCTGTTCATTTTTATGTTTTTAAAAATAAAATTTAATTTTATCATCAAGAAATAGTGTTTAAATATCTATTTTTCTGGGAAGACAAGAAAGTAAACCCAAAGAAAAGTGCATGTGACTAAATACTACTGCTCATAGCAGCTACTACTTCATTTGTTTTTGTTTTTTCCTGGTGAAGGCAGCAGAAGAGAGAGTAGCCTATTAAGTATGAATTGAGTGGAAGGCTTTAAAGCTTTACTCCAAAACAGTTCCTCAGGGGAACCAGCTCTGACTTCATCTTTCTTTCACCTGGCTTCACCTTTGAACCAGTGGCTTTACTGAATTAGAAAACAAGTGGGACAGATTTTTATGAGAGCAGCACGTGAATCTTGCTGGTTAGTAACTGGATTTGGTGAGGATGAGATGCCCGGTTGTGTTGGAATGGGTGTGGAAACCTGGGATGGGTACATTCCTGACATCTGGCTATGTGGGTCACATAAGCTCTACCTGAGAAAAGGCAGACCTAATGATGGAAAGAATGAACGAGAGAATGAATATTATGGAAGTTCATAGTTTTCCTTGAATCCAACTTTAATTACCAGAGTAAGCTGCCAGAATGTGATTGTTGAAGGACGAGAGTAACTGTGAAAACTAGAACAGATTTTAATGAAGGGATAACCACAGAGGGCCATAGTTAATACTGTGTCATCTGTGAAGTAAAGAGGGGAGGTTGCCACGTGCTTGCTGGTGAGGCATCTCCGGAGGCAGTTTTATTACTCCCAAAGCTGCATTCACACTAGGTATGGATCAGATGTTCTACTGATGGTTTTAGAAAATAAACTTTTCTTTCACTATAGATTTTTTATATCATGTAAAACATAATAAATTGGTATTTATGTGAATAATATCTATATTCTATCAACTCTTTGAATAGAATATGCAATTATATAATATACATGTAACTTCATGCAGCACAGTAGTTTTTTAGTTGAAAGACAGAGGAAGCTCAAATATTTGATCAATAGTTATGGTTGACTTATAGACTGGACCTCAGAAAGTGAAGAAAAGCAAAATTATTGAATATTAGTAGTGAGTGAATACTCATGTTTTGAGTGTGGGTCACATGCCAGAAATTGTGCTAGATCATCCTACTGGATGTAATTTCTCTCCCAGTTGCCACCATGTATTGTGGGTGATGAATTTCAGCAAGCAACTGTTGATAATTATGTTGGTGTAAAAAAGCTAGGAAGTAGAAAAACTGAAAGTGTACAAAAAGAAAAAAGAAGTAATGGAAAAACAAATTTTCTTTGGGGAGGAGTTCTCCGATTCTCATTTAATTGTACCCACATACACAGACAGCTGTAGGGATCAATTCCACATTTCCCATCAGAAACAGAAACTGTCCAACATGCAGTGATCTTTGCAGAGGCTCAGAGACTCATTTATACGTTTTACTTGTCTTGGAGATGTGCCTACATTGGCTTATAGAGAGGTGGTCTAGACCTGTGGCTGAGAATCTTTCATCTGATCTTTGATTTTGATCTTGGCCAAGAAACACAGATTCCTACTCTTAAAGAGTTGATTGAGAACAGTGGTTTCGTGAATGCCAAGTAGGATATTTGGAGGTGTTATCTGACCTTTGGGTCATGAAAAAATCCAAGTGATGGTCATCACAGAGTCCCCCAGAACTTACCATTTGCAGAAATGGGTTATGGATCAGTAAAAATAATGGTTCATTTGTGAGAACAGAGTTGTTCACCTCAGTTATCCTATCTGAAATTGTAATTCCAGTCTCAGTCCCCACATGTGAGTGTTAGAAAGTATTTCCAATTTTCTTTTCATTCTGGAACTGGTATTACTGCTGGATAGAGGACTTTCTTTGTATGTTTGTTTAATAATTGCCTTTTTTTTTTCTGGAAATCCCTTAGGCTTTTAATCTCTATGGTCAGTACAGAAGAAGACTGGGATATTTGAAATGATTTCACTTCACATTTCTTGATATTGCTATTACCAATATGGGTTTGGGAGAAGACAGGGTCCCTAGAGCCTCTGGGAACAAGTGTGATAAATTTCTGAGTCATTCAGCAACAAATGTTCATCGAGCACCAACTCTGTGCACGTGGAGACGAAGGTGGTGAACTGTCTGCCAGCCCAAACGAGCAGGAAGCTACAGGACAAGGTGGTCGACCTCAGCCTCCTGTGTTCTGGAGTGACAAACAGGTGCTTTTAGGCTGTCCTAAGAGACTGAAGCAGTAAAACTTAACAGTTGCTCCTGTGTTGGAGTTTGTGTCTTACAGGTGAGACTGGTTTGACAGTGATCCTGCACATGGGTTGCTTGCTATGCCAGGCTTCAAGCTTTCATAGAGCACTCATATTGAAAATTGGATCTTCTCCTGTGGAAGAGGCACTGGGCAGAGGTTCATCCAGTGATGGGTCCCGTCCCAGCCTGTGGCTCCTTGTGTTCAAGTTTGCAGAGCGTGAAAGTGAGGGGCAGTGACATGGGTCAGCATCCTGTGAGGTTTTTGGTACATATTAATATAAAATAAACAATGCAGGGCCAGATTACCAAATAGGATGGACACTGTGAAAAGATAGAACCATGTGAAGCTAAGGGGGTCAGAAATAAAGGGGACTGAGCACGGGGAGATTTGGGACAAGTAGCAGACAATTGAGGCTGAGAGGCATTTCCTGAGCCACAGTCAACTATTTCTGCCATGCTTCCGCCCAGCCGTGCCATAGAAATTACTTTGTGAATAAGAATAGCGTCCTGGGAACCTACAGACTCATTTCTGCTGACCTAATTCCCACAACAAGCCCTCTGAAGAAGGAACGCCAATTCTAGAGGGAAATAACACCGTAAAAGTTGCAGTTTACTAGTGAGAAAGCTTCTTTCCTGCTTAAGTTTAAACTGGTGGATCTGAAATCTCATTCTGTGACTAGTCTCCAGATGGAAAAACAACTCAGTACATCTGATTATCCTTCCAATGTATTTGAAGAGAAGAGTAACTGGGCTGATATTTAACTGACATAGGAAGAATCTAACATTATTAGGGGTCGGTGAGGGTGAAGGTGAGGGTGGGGTTGGGGGTGAGGGTAGGGTTAGGTTTAGGTTTAAGATTAACGGTTAAGGGTTAAGAGTGAGGGTCAGGGTCAGGGTCAGGGGGTTAGGGTTACCATGAGGGTGAGGGTGAAGGTGAGGGTCGGGGTCTGGGTTCGGGCTCGGGTTCGGGGTTGGGGTTAGGGTTAGAGTTAGGGTTTCAGGGGTAGGGTTAGGGGTTTGAGTTAGGGTTAGGGGTTCGAGTTTGGGTTCCGGTTAGGATTCGGGTGCGGGATCGGGTTAGAGTTAGGGTTGGGGTTTGGGTTCGGGGTTAGGGTTCAGGCTGGGGTTTGGGTTAGGATTTGGATTCGGGTTAGGGTTAGGGTTTGCATTCGGATTTGGAGGCAGGTTTAGCTTAGGGTTAGAGTTAGGGCTTACGGTTTAGGGGTTAGGGTTAGTGTTGGGGGTGGGGTTAGGGGTTAGGGTGAGGGTTAGGATTAGGGGTTAGGGCTTAGGTTTAGGGTTGGGGTTGGGGTTCAGGCTTCAGGTTCGGTTTTGGGTTCAGGGTTTCGGCTCAGGCTCCGGCACCGGCTAGGGCAGGGTCCTGGTTTGGATTCAGGTAGGAGTCCGGGTCCGGGTTCGGGTTGGGTTGGGGTTGGGCTGAGGGTTAGGGTTAGGGTTAGGGTTGGCGTTAGGGTTAGGGTTAGGGTTAGGGTTAGGGTGAGGGTGAGGGTTAGGGTGAGGGTTAGGGTTAGGGCTAGGGTTGGCGTTAGGGCGAGGGTTAGGGTGAGGGTTAGGGTTAGGGTTAGGGTTAGGGTTACGGTTAGGGTTAGGGGTTCGGGTTCGGGTTCGGGTT